CTCCAGCTTCTTCAGCCTTTCACAGTGGACATGCAGGTGACTCTCGAGGAACCTTCCAGGCCTTTGACCTTGGGCTGGTGCTGCATCTGTGACCCCTCTTGTTCTGCAGGTTCCCTCTTGTGCTGAGCAACTGCTGGATCCTCTGGCTGTCCAGGCACAGATGACCAGTGTGGACTCTCCTGCCTCTGATCCTGTGAGCTACCTAATGAATCTCCATGGATAATTAGACATTTTTTACTGATTCAGCTCCTTGAGAGAACCCTAATATATAAAGGAAATAAAATCAGTCAGGTGAAGAGATATCTGCATTCTTATGTTTTTTGCAGTACTATTATTATAGCCAATAAATCAACCCTTATGCTTAACAACTTTAGCATGGTTAAAGAAAATACAAAAATTATATACATATATTATGTATATATATTTACAGTGGAATTCCCTTCAGCTCTACATAAAGGTGAAATCCCGTCATTTGCAACGTATTGGTTGAAGTAAACTAGGTACAGAAAGATAAATACAGCATAATCACACTCATATGCAGATGGTAAAATGTTGATCTCACTGGAGCTGAGAGCACAGTAAAGTTTACCAGGATTGGAGGGTGCAGGGGAGGGAGTGACATGGAAAATTTGGTCTATGCATACTAAGTTGCAGGTAGACAGGAGAAATAAATTCTGTTGCTCTATTGCACAGCAGAGCAATTATGAATAATGATAATATGATGTAATTTCAAAAAATCTAGAAGAGAAGATGGTGAACATTTTCATTGCAAAAATAATGAACAAAGAGACTGATATGCTTACCTTAATTTGAACATTACACAATGTACACATGTATTGAAATATCACAAGGTACCTCATAAATATATAAAAACTTTGTGTCAATTAAAAAGTTGTGTGAAGAGATGCTTTGAAATAATGTATATATGCTGTTCTTCATTAAGGTTTTTACATCAGTTGATGATTTTTGCCACAATCAATCATTACTTAAATGACTGAAAAATCATTGCTACTAAATGTATCTTATTTTCTTGAAATCTGTTGAACTTTGAGGTGAGGATGGATCACTACAGCTGTAATGGTGGATGAAGTCAGAAAGCCTCAAAGTATAAGACAAGATCATAGCCAAGAACACCTGGATCTGATCTCAACTAGATAAAGACTGTAGCTTCAGGCATCTCACTCCTGGGTGGATATACTTCATCCTTACTAAGGATTAATTTAATACCTTATATGGAGAAGTGAGTAATTCCACTCTTCTTGAGTATTCCTCTCCCTTTTTCTGATAATCAAATAAATTCAGGCCACCCAGAGAAGGTCTTGGTCTCAGCCCTGAGAGAATCTAAAATTCTGCCAGAGGGCTTTGATCCTCCTGGAGCCCTGAAATCATTTCATTAGCCTCTTTTATTTAGCCTTCACCATACACTCACTTGGGAGATTGTGGACCTGATCAGCCCACAAAAACTAAGGGATATTATTAAACCACTCCTGGTTTTTGAGACAAGGTTTTGTTATGTAGTTCCTGCTGGCCTTGTACTGGCCTTGAACATGTGATAATGCTCCTGTCTCAGACTTACAAGTGCTGGGACTACAGGCTTGTGCCATCACATCTGGCTGAAATTACAGATTAAATGTCTACTGCCTAATGGAGCAACACTGCACCATTTATATTGCTGTCTGTGTAGATCTGGCCTCATTGCTCCCTCTCAGATGTCAACCTGAGCACAGTACATAAAGTACAAACAAAAGACATCATCCCTAAAATTTTGGAAAGCAAAGCAATTTATCAGTGTTTCTTAGAAAACATCAGATTTACTCAAGAAGAAGAGGCAGGAGGGTACCAAGTATCCTGCCAGCCAGGCCAGCCCAGAAAACTTAGAGGGACCTATCTGAACATAGGAAAGAAAAGTGATTGGATGTAGTTCGTGTCTGGATTCAATCCCCAATACCACAAGAAACAAAACAAAATGCAAAACACCACCAACGTCTTTCTGTTACAGTACCTCCAGTTCCCTCTGATTCCTTTCATCACTCATCATATAGTAGCTCCTGAATGCTCATCCTCATAACTCCCCCAAATGTTCCCTAAAATTAGCCCAGACCCACTGCCGTTCTTCTTGATCCCCTTTCCTGTAAGATTAGCATTTTTCTTCTGGAAGCTACTCTGTCTTTTCCCATGTAAAGCAAAGTAGCCCCTTTTCATTTTTACCTCACTTGGTCCTCTGACTTGTTGCATGAAGCCCAGGCATCCAAGAGGTCACAGAGAATTAACTGTTGAGAATAGGCAGGGAAAGAAAGATGATGTGAAAATCTTATTTTTTTTTTTTTAAAAAGCTGTAAAATAGAAAAATCAGAATATATGTGTAATGACTAAACTTAGTCATGTCAACTCAGTTGGCTTTTGAAATGCCCAGGGGGTTATCACTCCTGGGTGTGTTTGAGTGGTCATGGAGGCGTAGTTTTGTTTTTTAAAATTTATTTTAAAAATAAAAGAAGGAAAACATATTAACAAACAGACATCTATTTACAAAATAGCATAAGAACATTACAAGCAATACTGAATTACAGACAAAGTGGTAGGAAATTAACAATGGTTGTTGTATTACATATTAATATCTTTAAAGTGGTTTCTCAGGAAAACAAATGGAGACATGCAAGATTGATCAAATAAGTAATCATTATCTGTTCCTTTCAGTAAAGGGATAGAAGTCAGTAGCAGTACAACTATGTTAGCTATCCTGTATATACATACATACATACATAATTTTCCCTTCTTTCTTTCCTCTTTTCCCTCATCCCAGTTTGCTCTTTACTTTTGAGCATTTATCTTTCACTTCACAATGTCTATCATACTTCCTAATTTTTTTCACTCTTTCAGGCTCTTATACTAGTTAGAAAATACATTGGTTACACATGGAAGTCTGGTTTATTTCACTTGTGAGTATGGTCTCTAGTTGTGACCATTTACCTGTAAAAGCCTCAAGTTTATCTTTCCTTATAGCTGAGTAATATTCCATTATATAAAAGTACCACAATTTTCTTATCCAATCCTCAGTGAATGGACATTTGGATTGCTTCTACAATTTAGCAATTACAAGCTCTGCTGCTGTGAACATGGGTGCATATATATCACTGTGATATGATGTTTTCAGATCTTCTGGGAAAATACCCAGAAGGGGAATAGCTGGGTTGAATGGGACCTCTAGATATAGTTTTCTGAGGAATCTCCAAACTGATTTCCACAGTGGTTTCACCAGGGGCTGAGGACTTAGCTCAGCGACACAGTGCCTCCCTGGCAAGTGCAAGGTCGTGAGCTCAACTTCCGGTACCGGGAAAAAAACAAAAGTAAACAAACAAACACAGTGGTTTCACCAGTCTGCTTTCCCACCAGCAGTGGAGAAGAGTTCCTATCTCCACAGCCCCGTCAGCATTTGTTATTGGTTGATTTCTTAATGATAGCCATCTTCTGGGGTGAGATGAAATCTCAATGTTGCTTTAATTTGCATTTCTCAAATGACTAATGATGTTGAACATTTTCTCATTTATTTATCTGCATTTGTATTTCTTTATCTGAGAAGCGTGTATTCATCTCAGCTGCCCGTTTTTGGATTGGGTCTTTGAATTGGGGGGGCTGATGTGTTTTAATTCTGTATATGTTCTAGATAGAAGACCTTTGTCTGAGCAACAGTCAGTTAAAATTTTTTCCCAATTTGTGGGTTTTCTTTTTACTTGCTGGTGATTTCTTTAGATGTGCAGAAATTTTTCAGTAGGGTGAGATCCCAGTTGTTGATTTTTTGAAGTATTTCATTTGAATTTGGCTTTTGTTCATGAACTCTCTGCCTACCCCTATGTCTTCAAGATTTTTACCTACTTTCTTTTCCAATAGATTTAGTATTTCTGTTTTAATATTGAGATCTGTGATCCATTTTGATGTTAGTTTCATGCATGATAATAGACTTGGGTCTATTTTCAGTCTTTGGCAGGTGGCAAGCCAATTTTTCCGGCACCATTTATTAAGAGGCTATCATTCTTCCAGTGAGTTTGTTTGGCCCCTTTTTCAAAGATTAGGTGGCTGAGTGTGTTTGTGGTTGTGGTTGTGTCTTCCAGTCTGTTCCACTGATCCTCTGGTCTGTTTTTTAGCCAGTACCAGGTTGATCTTATTACAGTAGCTTTGTAGTATAATTTCAGGTCAGGGATTGTGACTCCACCTGACTTGTCTTTGTTGCCCAGGATTGCTTTTGCTATTCTGGGTCTCTTCTGGTTCCAAATGAATTTAAGGAATGTTTTCTCTAGATCTATGAGATATGGTAATGGTAGTTTAATGGGAATTGCATTGAATATGTATAACAATTTTGGTAGTATGGCCATTTTCACAATGTTGGTTCTTCCTACCCATGAGCAAGGAATATTTCTCCATTTATTGAAATCCTCTTTGATCTCTTTTTTCAGAGTACTGTAGTTTTCATGGAACAGATCTTTCCCTTCTTCTGTTAGATTGATTTCTAAATATTTTGATTTCTTGGATGCTATTGTGAAAGGTATGGTTCCCTTAATTTCTCTCTCAGTCTGTTTGTTGTTTATGTATAGGAATGCTATTGATTTTTGGGTGTTGACTTTGTATCCAACTACACTGCTGAATTTGTTGATTAATTCAAGGAGTCTTCTTATGGAGTTTTTGGGGTCTTTCATGTAAAGTATCATGTCATCTGCAAATAGTGATAGTTTTAATTCTTCCTTTCCTATCCTTATTCCTTTTATATCTCTCTCTTGTCTAATTGCTCTGGCTAATGCTTCCAGAACTACGTTGAACAGGAGTAGTGACAGTGGACATCCTTGTCTAGTTCCTGATTTTAAAGTAAAAGCTTAGAAGTGCTGGACCTGGGAGGTGTGCAAGAGCTGGTGGTGAGTGTTTGGCAGACATGGCTCCTACCATATGGGCAGTGGAGTCCGAGTATCCTAAAGGCATCTGAGCCATGCTGCTAGGCTCCCTGGGGCTGGTAAATGTACCCAGGCACCCAGGCACCCAGGTTAGCTGAAAACTTCTGTGTCTGCCAATTGGCCATTGGGGACATGCTGAGGGATGTGGAAGCTTCTGGCTCAGAGCTTGGAAAAAAGCTGAAGGCAACTATGGATGCTGGGAAACTGGTGAGTGATGAAATGGTAGTGGAGCTCATTGAGAAGAATTTGGAGGCCCCTTCCTGTAAAAATGTCTTCCTAGGGCTGGGGATTTAGCTCAGTGGCACAGTGCCTGCCTGGCAAGCACAAGGTCATGAGTTCCATTCCTGGTACCAGAAAAAAAAAAAACAAAATTTAAAAAAGAAAAAAAAAATGGCTTCCTTCTAGATGGCTTCCCTCGGACCGTGAGGCAGGCAGAAATGTTCGATGACCTCATGAAGAAGAGGAAAGAGAAACTTGATTCTGTTATTGAGTTCTGCATCCCAGACTCCCTGCTAATCCGAAGAGTCACTGGAAGGCTGATTCACCCCAAGAGTGGCCGATCGTACCATGAGGAGTTCAACCCCCCAAAGGAGCCCATGAAAGATGATATCACGAGAGATTCCTTGATCCATCGATCAGATGATAATGAGAAAGCCTTGAAAATCTGCCTGGAAACCTACCACACTCAGACTACCCCACTCGTGGACTACTACAGGAAAAGAGGAATCCACTTTGCCATCAATGCCTCCCAGACCCCTGACCCCTGATGCTGTGTTTGCAAGCATCCTAGAAGCCTCCTCCAAAGCCACATGTAAAAACTTGGTTATGTTTACCTAATGTTAGGGTCAAAAAGGAATCTTTCTTATTCTTACCCTTGTTAAAAGGATGGGTGGGAATGGCAGGGCAGGTAGAGAGATGCTTCCTTTTTCAGGCTTGCAAGAAGATCCTCTGATGCATGGATTAAAAAGCTTTTGCTTGATGTTAAAAAAAATAAGGTAAAAGCTTTCAGTTTTTATCCATTTAGTATGATGTTGGCTGTTGGTTTGTCATAGATGGCTTTGATCAGGTTGAGGTAAAGACCATCTATTCCTATTTTCTGTAGAGTTTTTATCATGAATGCATGTGGGACTTTGTTGAAAGCTTTTTCTGCACCATTTGAGATGACCATGTGGTTTTTGTCTTTGGCTTTATTGATATGGTGTATAACATTTATTGATTTGCAATTATTGAACCATCCTTGCATTCCTGGAATGAATCCTACTGGGTTGTGGTGTATGATTTTCTTGATGATTTGCTGCATTCTATTTCCTAGTATTTTATTGAGCATCTTTGCATCTATATTTATTAGGGAATTGGTCTGTAGTTATCTTTCTTGGTTGGGTCTTTCTCTGGTTTTGACATCAGTATACGAGTTAGGGAGAATTGCTTCCTTTTCAATTTCACTGAAGAGTTTGAGGAGTGTTGGTATTATATCTTCTCTGAATTTCTTGTAAAATTCTCCTATGAATCCATCAGGACCTGGGCTTTTCTTTGTCAGTAAGTTTTTAATCACGTTTTCAATCTCATTAATTGATATTGGGTTGTTCAGGATTTTTATATCTTCTTGATTCAACCTTGGTAATACATACATATCTAGGAATCTGTCCATTTCTTCTGAATTTTCTATCCTATGGGAGTAAAGATTTTCAAAGTAAGTATTAATGATCTTCTGAATTTCTGTTGGGCCTATAGTAATTTCATCCTTTTCATTCCTTATTGCATGAATTTGAGTTCTTTCTTTTTTGATAAAGTTGGCTAGGGGTTTATTAATTTTATTTATTCTTTCAAAGAACCAACTCTTTGATTCATTTACTTTTTGAAGGGTTTTCTTAATTTCATTTGCATTAATTTCTGCCCTAATCTTTATAATCTTCTCCCTTCTTTGGGCTTTGGGCTTGACTTGTTCTTCTTTTTCTAAAAGTTTGAGGTGCAGCATTAGGCTATTTATTTGTCCTCTTTCTGTTTTCTTTATGTGTGAGTTCACTGCTATAAATTTCTCTCTGAGGACTGTTTTCATTGCATCCCACAGATTCCAGTAAGTTGTATTTACCTTTTTATTTGTTTGTAGGTATTTTTAAATTTCTTCTTTAATTTCCTTTGTGACCAATTAATTGTTCAGCAGGTTGTTTAATTTCCAAGTGTTTATGGATTTTTTGGAGTTCCTTTAATCATTAATTTCCAATTTCATTACACTGTGGTCAGATAATACTCATGGGATGATTTCAGTTCTTTTGCATTTAGGTAGGTATGCTCTATGAGCCAGAATGTGGTCTATTTTAGAGAAAGCCCCATGTGCAGCAGAGAAAATGTGTATTCTGATGTTGTGGGGTGGAACACTCTGTATATATTTACTAAGTCCATTTGTTCACAGATTTGGTTCAGATCTGTTATTTCTTTGCTGATTTTTTGTTCAGTTGACCTATCTCTTTGTGTCAAAGGGGTGTTGAGGTCCCCTATTACAATAGTGTTATTAATTATATGGGTTTTCATGTCTGTTAAGATTTGTCTTATATAGTTTGGAGCTCTGATAATTTGGTGCATACATGTTTATGATTGTTATCTCATCCTTTTGCAATTTTCCCCTAAGAGGTATATAGTGACCTTCTTTATCTCTTTTGATTGTTGTAGGTTTGAAGTTTACATTGTGTGCAAACATAATAGCTACACCTGCTTTTTTCTGGGTTCCTGTTGCATGGAGAATTGTCTTTCAATCCTTTGACTTTCAATCTATGGATTTCCTTTTGAGTAAAATGTGTTTCCTGTATACAGCATGTCATTGGATTTTGTTTCCTAATCCACTCTGCCAGTCTGTTTCTTTTGACTGGTGAATTGAGGCTATTTACATTTATGGTTATAATTGATATGTGTTGGCTTATCATTGTCATATGATTTACTTGCTGTTGGTTTCCTACTTTTTCTACCTGTTTAATTGCTGGCTTTGTCTGACATTATCCCTCTTTGCCTCAACTGTTGAATTGATTTTTCCTGGATCGTTGTTGATTTTAAGAGATCTTTTCTTTCATAATTACTAGCTGTCATGCTGCCTTCAAGATCTGAAATTGTATCTTCAGCTTCATTCAAGCGGTTTTGCCAGCTTTCAGTGGAAGTTTTGATTTCCTGGATGTCTCTTTGAATCTGTTTCATGCATTCTAGTTCATTTCTATATTGTTCATTTAATGTTTCCATATGTTTCCTATACTCATCAATTTTTTTTATATATTTCTTTAGATGTGCTGAGCAATTCTTTCATTATTATTGTCATTTCATTTTTTGTCTAAGAGATTATTTCTGATCTGATGTCTTCTATGTCCTGATGGAGCTGTTTCTTTACTTCCACTGCAATCATTTTAGTAATTTCATGTGTGTGTCTCCTAAGTTCTCCTATGTCAGTGTCTCCTGGACTTGCTCTGAGTGTGGTGGCATTCTGAGATTGTGTTTTAGTCCTTCGTCAAGTCATGTTTGATATCAGAGGCAGAAAGTTCAGTCTCCTTCTTCTCTGGCAGCTCAGCAAAAGTCGCTAGTGACCCTAGTTTTCCTGGTGGTCAGGCTTGTTCTTCAGTGACTGCTGAGATACGCTGCTTAGTCTCGGATCTTCTGGCAGATGGTGAAGTGTACCTAGTTCTCCCAGGTCTCAGATGTGAACTGTGATGTCAGCCAGATTCAGTGTCCTTTGACAGCTCAGGGCTCGTGTATAACCCAGAAGTGGGCTGCACTGGTGGCACAATCACGGACCAGCGGTCTTGTGTCTCCAGGCAGTTCAGGGCATAGGCAGAACCCAGAGATGAATTGCAAGGTCAGTAGTTTGTAGCCCACCCAATTCTGTGTCTCCAGGCAGCTCAGGGCATGCACAGGAGCCAGATGTGGGCTACACTAGCGGTAATCACCGACTGCCTATGTCTGTTACCTCCAGGAGGTCAGGGTGCAAGTAAAGCCCAGACATGAATCTCGGTGCCAGCAGTTCGTGGACCGCCTGCTTTAGTACCTCAGGTGGTACAGGGCATGCGCAGGGAGGGCCCAGACGTGAACCCCAGTTCACGGGCCTTCTGCGTCAGGATCTCCTGTCCGCACCAGGCACACGGAGGGCTGAGACTCAGACTCTAATGGTGGCAGGGTTGTGGGTTGCCTGCTCTGCCCCCAGGAAGTAGATGGGGAATACCTGGTTCTCTGGGCATTCAACTGTGAACCGTGGTATCAGCGGATCTTGGACTGCCTGATTTTGTGTCTCCAGGCAGCTCGGGGGGTGCACATGAGCCAGACATGGGCTGCACTGGTGGTGATCACTGACCACCCGTGTCTGTGACCTCCAGGAGGTCAGTGCTCAAGTAAAGCCCAGACGCGAATCTCAGTGCCACCAGTTCGTGGACCGCCTGCTCTAGTACCGCAGGCGGTGCAGGGCATGTGCAGGGAGGACACAGTTGCAAACCCTGGTATTAGCAGTCAGTGGGCCTTTTGGGTAAGGATCTCCCGGAGGCATGGCTTTGGAGCAGGGTCTGGTCCCAGGCCCTTCCTCTGTGAGGCTGTTCCCATCCCCTGCTTCATGCCCACCGTAAACTAAGCCGCTGTGCTCCACCATGCTCACTGCCCTTTATGCCATGAATCCAGCTAACCATGAACTTTATCCCTTAAAACTGTGAGTCAAATCAAGCCTCTCGTGTTCAGCTGTAGGTGTGCATTACTGTGTCCGACAATGGGAAATCCTTTAAATCCAGCATGATGGTGGTTATACAGCCATACATGCAAATATTTAGTTTCATTTTCCCACCACATAGCTAAAATTACAATACCTGTTTTCTTTTGATATAAGGAAAGTATATCAAAATTTAAGTCTAATTTTAGCAAGAAATTGATGATCAAATGATTCTGCTCAAAAAGTAGTGATTTGCATTATACCTTAAAGTAGTTATACATGGATCATGGGTATGACTGAACATGTGGTTCCTTTGTTCTCAAAATTTGATTATAAAATAATAGTTTTGATTATAAAATAATACTAAAATTCAGTTTCATCAGAATAATCAGGTGAGCTGTCCTTTTGGAATCTTTGAATACCTCTTTAAGTAACTGATCATTTTATGACTTTGTTTTATGAACTGGGGCATAATTGGGGAATTTATGTTCAGATGGCTGTAAAGTCGGGAGAATTCCTGATACGTTGAAACACTTTACTGGAGCATAGAAAAAGCAGGGGAAGTTCAGAAAGGCAAAAGTATATAATAGCTATCACAGGAAATTATTTATTCTCCAGCCTCATTGATGTATCTTTTTGCCAATATATCCTTTTGAATAACATGTAGTTATTACCAAGTCAGAAAATGTTATACTCTTGCCTTAAGTAGACTCCAAAATGAGTTTCCAAGTTAGGAATAATTTTTGAATTATGTTGCAGTTTGTATAATCATTTGAGAAGCGTCTGGGTTTTAAGTGAAGATAAATCAATAGCTGCAAATATTTTGAGTCTCAAATATAAAAATGAGGCCGGGCTGGAGCTGCCACAGTTGGGGGATGATGGCTTTGGTCCTGCTTTTGCCTTGGCTGTCACAGCCTCCGTGGGTTCCTGGTCATGAGACGAGACAGGGTGAGGAAGCAAAGAAATCTGGATCAAAGCAAAAGCGTCCATGGGCCACATGGCGGGCGAATGCCCAGCCATCCCTGTGTTTCTGCAACAAAGTTGAAAGGAGGAGGAGAAGGCTTGTGTCTTCATTCTGGAGATGTTCATACCTAGATGAAC